CCCAAGAAAGCAAATCATTAACTTAAGAATGTAGAAAATGTTTTAAAACATCACATAAAATTACATTAAAATGAAACATTAACTATTTCACAAAGTATATTAAGTCCTGTATAAATTTAATATGGTGCTATTTATTACAAAAAAATGATGCTATTGTAAGAGAGAAGCCTTCATTTCCCAGTAATGAGGGGAGGGAAGGGAATGACAATATATGACTTCAAAAGTTCCTGCTCTAAAAAATATTTATTTTCCTTCTACAATTCCCTATAATATAAGAATATAACACTCCCCTCCTCCCCAGAAAGATCTAAAGTTACATTCAGAATTGGGATAATTCAATAGCTCTAAAAACATGGTAATTATTCAGAAACCCAATAGAAGTGGTACCAATAAAATTCCCTCATTCTTGCAGATCTCCTTGTTCCAGCTGCACTAGCTCCTCATTTGATGACGGGTTCTGTTAGTCTCAAACATCTCAACCACACTGGTCTCTAGGATGTATTCATGGCCAAGACCATTTGCAAAGCTCATGCTTTATTCAGTCTCTAATACAGTTTTGATTTGGAGGGAACTGTAATTTTTGTGATCACTTGCCAGACAGATCCTCCAGCGTTCTTTGATAGTGAATGGACTCTCTGTCAGGACCAGGCACTGATCCAGGATGTTCCTGATACAGCAGACTAACTGCAGGCTAAACTGCTTCATCCCTTCATCCGGGGAGCCGATGAGAACATCTACACAGGCATCAAGCCTTAAAAGTGGCATTCACACCTCTATTTACTGGCTGTGAAATGTTTCTCCCTCGGATGATCAGACAAATCACCTGAATGTACAGGCTGGCCAAGACAGTACTATCTGGGGTACAGCACTTTTGAACAGAAAGACAATGTAAGTGAGCCATCGCTGAGAAATGCTCATCCCTGTCCAGGCTTCCTGTTAGATCACTAAATCCTTCTCAGGTTAGCTGAGGAGCTGGGATTTCCAAGTAGATCAATAAACACCTCACTTTTAAGATCATCTTCAGTAAGGCCTCAAGTGATATTTGGCTGCTTTAACCTGTGGTACTATTTTCTCCCACAGAAATAAAAGTCTGGCATTCAGGCATTCCTTTCCAGTCAAACTCCAACTTATCAACCGAAGGGTTTGTTTCAATAAGGAAAGCCAACATGTTAGGAGACTAGCAAGAGCTGTCCGTGTCAGAACTGCCATCTTCCCTGGTCATCTTAATGCTCTGTCAACTATCCCTCTCCCAGAATCTCACAAATCCTTGTTGGCTACCCACTAAAGTTTCCATTTTAAAACCATGAGTTCTTCAAAACATGAGTCCTCAATGGTAGCTTCTAAAAAAATCATGGTGCTCCTTGCTAAACTACTTCTGATCCTATGCCCATATATACTGAACAGGTGCCCATCAAAATTTCTTTATTGTAAATCAATTTGCTAGCACTTAAAAGTCTAAGTGCTTGACAATCATTAAACAAATATTTTCTCAATTTTGTGTAACAGAATGTAAATGGAATGACTCCAAGTACTTTTGCCACTAAGCCAAGTCTTAATCTTTGTCAAATTGCCCTAACACTTCAGATTTTACATGTAACTAATTGATAAACAGTTTCCTTTTCCTTTGGCATCTCTCACTGTTTGGCTTCTTTCCACAGATCTTTAGCACAGGTTTGAAACTGGCGTGAACATACGCTCCTGGCAAGTGGATTTTTAGAACTTTAAAAGGAAGAAGAAAGGCTTAACATTTTTGTATTCTTTTAGTTTTTCTTTCTGCCTTACTTTGTTCGGTTTGTTGTCTACACAGCAAAACAGAAGGCACAACAAGTTTTTTTTTGTTTTTTTTGTTTTGTTTGTTTGTTTGTTTAAAGAAAAGGTAAGAACAAAGAAAGTAAAATAGAACCTGAGGGAAGCAGGAATAAAATTTTAAAAAGTAAGGAAGATAAACTTTCACAGGTATAAGTTAACTCAAGGAGTAAAATTCCAGGATAAAGGAAGATGGCCACATGTCTGTTTCAAATATCCCCATAGTTGCAGAAAATTCAAATCATTCTGAAGATACTCTGTTGATACTGTGGTAATTTAGGTTCTTTGCCCATTATAGCAGCTTGCCTACATGAGCAGGAGGCTCAAAGCTAAGAGCTCAACATCTTTTTGAAGGCCCAAAGGAGAAATAGACTCAAGTACACAGGGGAGACTGGTGGTTGCTGGGGAGGTGGGTAAGGAGATTGAGAGAAAGAGGTGAAGGGATTAAGAAGTACAAATTGGCAGTTATACTAGTCACAGGGATGTAAAGTACAGCATCTATACTAGTAAAAGGGTAATATGCTAATTAGGGTGGACATCTTCCTGACGACCTTCCAGATGTTCTTCTGGACAAAGCTGCAGCAGCTGCAAAGGGCCCAGGCTCAGGACAGCAGTGGCAGCATCATAAGCGAAGTAATGTGGGCGGCACCTTCTCCTGATCTGCCTGGTCGCCTCCCATGGAGGGAGGCCAGACTTTGGTTTAGGTCATGGTAGAGGCAGTTAAGGTCCATCAGGCCAGCAGGGGGGCAAGGTGAGGGCGATCAGGCCGGCAGGGAGCAAGGTATGGGCAATCAGGATGGCAGGCAGGCAGAGGGGTTAGGAGTCAGTGGTCCTGGATTGTGAGAGGGATGTCCTAGATTGGAGAAGGTGCAGGCTAAGTTAAGGAATCCCCCTCTTTAGCCCCAATCCATGCACTAATTTCATGCACCAGGCCTCTAATAGGGAATATAGTCAATAATATTGTGATACCTATGTTTGGTGGAGGTTGAGTACTGGAAATATCAGGAGACTATTTTTGCAAAGTATATGATTATCTAACTACTATGTTGTATACCTGAACCCAATACAAAGCAATATTGAAAGTAAACTGCAATTGTAAAATAACTATAATAATTTAAAAAAAAATGCATCATGTGCAAAGAGAGGAATTATTTGGAATGACAAACCCATTTCAAACTAAATCATTTCTTGAAAACACTACCAGAAATATAAAAATAAATACCAAGACAAAGGAGACTTCTAAGTTTTGGAAATGAGTCACACAGATGTATGCTACACACAGCAAAGATAGAGCTATCATTGCTTTCCAAATCCATTTCTAAGAGATTTAAATGAATAAGACTATCCCATCACGCCATAGACCTAGATTGTGTTTGATTTCCGGTCTTGGCTCATATGGGAGGCAACTGATCAATGTTTATCTCTCTCTTTCCCTTTCTCTCTAAATAAAAAAAAAATCAATAAAAACATATCTTTGGGTGAGGATTTAAAAAAAAGAGAGAGAGAGTGCTATATTGGCTGCTTTAAACTGATTGTTAACTTAATGTGCTAAAATAAATGTTCATATATGAAATATGTGGCAAACCCAACAGACATCTATAGAAACAAAAGCTAGTCAAGCTAGTCACTCCTTTTCATGTACCGCATATATCTAATACAAAATATTTATGTGTGCTGAAAACATTGTACATTGACGTATTTCATGTGTATGTATGTACCTGTACCAAAAACCTCTGTAAGATTTGTTCAGTCCTTCAGGTAAGTTTTAATCTCACGTCCCAGGTTCTCAAAAAGCAGAAACTGTGCTGGTCTCCAAGAGTAACTAGCCAAAGAAACTAATAAAAGGCCACTGACTCTTGGTGTCTTGATGTCTTGATGTCTTGAAGACATCAAGAAGGTGTCTTGACCTTCTTGAAACACTGTATTTGCTTTATGCCCTTTCCCCTGCGTTAGGACCAATTGAGAACTGCCGAGTTTATAAAGTTACACAAGCATGTCTTTCCCCTATTCCACTGTTATGCATCAGTAAATTCTTAACTCTTTATGGCTTATTAGTACATTTAAAAAGAAAAAGAAAAAAAAATAAGTCTGCTGCCAAAACCTGGCTCTGGAATCAGATGGGGGTGGGAGTGGAATTTGCAATCCATAGACAATAGAAAATTCTCATTGTCTGACTAAAACCGGTTTGGCTCAGTGGATAGAACATCAGCCTGTGGACTGAAAGGTCCCAGGTTCAATTCCGGTCAAGGGCATGTACCTTGATTGCAGGCACATCCCCAGTAGGGGCTGTGCAGGAGGCAGCTGATCAATGATTCTCTCTCATCGATGTTTCTAACTCTCTATCCCTCTCTTTTCCTCTCCATAAAAAAGTCAATAAAATATATATTTTTAAAAAATTTCTCATTGTCTGAAATGTGAAGCTGGTGGGACATTTGCTATCAGAGTCATAGCATGACAGTAAGGGCTTTCCAAAAGTGAGGATGTTAATCAATTATGTTTGCAGAGGTACATCATCACTATGAGGGTGAAAGATGTACAAAAATCCAGGCTAAGAAAATAAATGAAAAAAAAATAACTTTCTTGTTGCAAATTAATCCTTTCTTGTTTTTCACTACACATGTGACATTTTTCAAATATAGAGTCATCTATTAATTCAAACCCAGGCAGAAGGAAGTGGGTCTAGAGGTCTGGGAGTGCCATTCTACCTCCCCCCACGCCTGCAATGGTTAACAAACAATACTGGGCATTTTTATAAGTTGGTTTACTGGTATGCTATTTTTCTTAGAAACCTGGGACTTCCTTTTAAAATGCAAAGAAGACAATGATTGTTCCATTAAGAAATCCACATGGAACCGGTTACCTGCTTAAGGGGGAAGCATTTTCTTTGAGTCTATATCAGTTAAAAAATTTGAGATACTTGGGGAGGTTGGGTGCATTGAACTTTTGACAAAGCCCAAAACTAAAAGAGTTAATGCATTATTTTACTTTGCTTCCTAATGAGAAAAAAAGTCTGCCTCCAAACTCAGCTCAGAATTCAGATGGGACGGTACGGAGGGTGATAATTACAGTCCACTGATAAAGCAAAATACAGATGATATTAGAAGAATTTCTCTCATGTGAGCATTCATTTCACCAGAATGAAGGTGCCTAGAGAAAATCAGTTGATGTGGTTGGTCTGCTTTTGCTGTCTTTACCTGGATAGAGATCAGGCCCAGGCCCCGGGGAGCATCCCACTGGCCCATCTGGGGCAGCATCTTGTGGGGACGTGGCCGGCTGCAGGGGTTGCACGGTGAGGCAATCCGTGAGCAAGTCAGGATGGAGCTCTGCACTGGACCGCAGCTACGAAAAGGAGAAAACAGACACAGATGGAAAGGAAAGCTGTTCCTTGGAATACCTTGCTGGAATGGCATCATGCCCTAAGGTTCAATGCAATTCAATCCACAAATATTTATCAAGCAACAACTATGGGTTTAAGAGAGTCAATAAAAGAGTCAGTTTTCCAATCCTCATAACACCTGGCAGGTGCTTCAGGAAAAAAAAAAAATGTGGCAAGAGGCAGATTTGACTTTAGTCCTGATATTTTGACTTCTGAGAACCCAACTTCCTATTATATTTCCTTGTATTTGCTCTGTATCTTATCAGAACTTGTAGCGATAACAAAACAAACTCAAGTATATTTAGTCCAGATTGGAAAGTGCTTTTAAAATGCAGATATACCACAATGAAAATATCCTGGAGATAATTTAGAAATGTCCATTGAGATCTGGTGCCTATAGCTATTACATGTCAGGAAAATACACAAGTTAAATTTTAAAATATTATGGAGCACGATTTTTTTAAAAATGTCATTAACAGAAACAGAACCCCAACATAAGTTACATAACAAAAAACATTTAGATAGTCATTTTATCACAATAACAAAATGAAGTCTTGATTTATTAGAGTTACAAAAAAATCAAATCATAAAAATGTCAGAATAAAGTCTAGGTGAAAAGTTACCTAACCTCTTTATGAAAAAGAATTCTGTAAGTATAACTCAAATAGGAAAAAATCACAACGTGAGATTGTTACCTAAAAATCTCTATATTCTGCTTATATAAAAACACAATACCTTAAAAATCTAGCCATGTATTTGTTACAGTTATTGCAAGTAGTTACCATCTCTAGTGTTTAAAGGAAATACTTACATTAATATTTTCTTTAGTAAGACAAAAGTAAACCTTTAGACTCAGAACTGGAGGACACTTATTCATCCAACAAATATTTATTGTCAGACGTACCTCTAGACTCTAGGAATCCCATGTTAGGGAAAGTAACTCCAGAGTGGAATAATAGGGCAGAGAAGAAAGACAGTGAGGGTGGAGGAGGGAAGGTAATTTTAGAAAGGAGATCAGGGAAAAGCTCTTGGACAGGACACTTGCAAAAAGCTTTGAAAGAAGCAAGAGAGTGAGCCTTAAGACATAAAGAGAGGAAGAATCTGTCTACCCTGTGGAGTGCCTGGATTATCTGAGGAACAGTAAGGCTGCAGTGGTGTGAGCCTGGGGCCCAGAGAAGAGAAACAGAAGATGAACCAGAGATATAGTGGGGAGAGGAAGTATGTTTAGTGTTCCTCTCACTCTCCCTCCCAGATTAGACAACCAGGAAAGGTCCTTCCAGATCAGTTAAAACTCTTAAATCATCTCTGGTCTAGGAATTATCTACTGATGAAGGTGGGAGGCACACAGCAGAATCTCCTGGGTGGGGATTGCCTTACCACGCAGCCTTGGCATAAACATAAGAATTTAAAAAGGCAAAACAGAATGACAATAAACATTAAAAAATACAGCACACTTATAAAGAAATGCAATGTGAATGTTTTTTTAACTTATCAAGTTCATAAAACCTTTTTTAAAAAGTAGCTAAGGTATAGTGAGAGAGGCATTCTTTTCTTTAAAAAATTATTTATGATTAAAAGTATTTCAGATGTTCCTCCTCCTCCCCCCATTAACCTCCTCCATCTTAAACAATGTAGAAGTGTACATTGGAACAAACTTTCTAGTGATATCTCACAATATTTTTTCAAGACCCATAATTTAAACCATTTGATCATAAAATTTGGCTTAAGGATATACTCAGAAGAAAGGTGAAGGAAGATTTATACCCAATATCCCAATGATATAAAGTATTATTTACAGCAATATCAAAAATCAGAAAATATTACTTAAATGTCCACAATTAGGGCCAATAAATAAACTCATAAATTTGATGGGGTATTATGCAACCACTAAAATAATGCTCATGATGATAAAAGCAAAACACAAAATTATATAGAAAAAATCATATAAAAACACAGACAAAACCCTTTAAGAAAATGTAATCCAATATTAAAACTGATTTTTGCTCCTCCTGTCATTATCATGACTTTATTTCCTGTTTTTGTTTGTTTGTTTGGTGTGTGTGTGTGTGTGTGTGTGTATGTTTTGAATACTTTCCTCTGCTTCCAAATTCTCTGCATTCCAAGGACTTGTAGGAGGCTGGTTTTAAATCAATCCAAGAGTGTCAATAGGCTGTATTTTTTCCCCAAACTTTCCATGCAATGATGTCAGATTGATAGTTTGAAATCAATCATGGTTCTTATATATACACCATGGACCCTGACAAATGCTAGAAACTGAGGCATTTTTTTATATAGAGAGCTAGTTAAACACTTCCAGCATGCCAGCAACAATGACTCTTCTGCACACTCTGATCAGAAACACACACATTAGCAAAGTTACTACTTAGAGAACAGTATTTCTCAAAAAGCTTCTTAAAGAGACAAACATATGTCCAGGTCTTAGTCCAAGAATATGACCCTAAGTTTAGGGGAGAAGTGTTTAACACCTGGGGTGAATGAGACATAATTCGATTATCATTTCCTCAGCTTTGCCTCATTGGAATCTCTGACCAAGACTGTCTGAGCTTATGCCTAGCCCTCTCAGGGCCTTCGGAAAGTATGTTTGTTATTTCAGTACTAGCCTAACACATGCTGCGTAAGGAAAACTGGAAGAAAAAATCAAGGCTAAGAATGAGTTCTGGTAATCGCTTTTAATTTATCTTCCTTTGCTAAAATGTGATCTGGGGCCCACATGGTCTGTTAAGCACAGACGTGATGTCTCTCTGCTTTCTATTACCAGCTCCTCTAGGGTTTTGCAGTTATCAGTATGGATGAGGTCTTTCCAAGGAATTTCATGGCCAGGGTTACTCCTGGAGTCAAAGGCAGGCACCGCTTCCTCAGCTTCAACAAGTATTCTTGTTCTCTGAGAGTGGGATTCCATCTGACTCTGTGGTGAGAGTTAATTTGGTTTTCTCTGGGATTAGGCATGGTTCTAGAAACTGCTTCTTAAATTGAACAAGCCTTGAGGACCTTGTGCAAAACTGCCAACGGAGAGCACTATGCATGGTAATGCGCTAATGAAATGATATGTAAGTTTACAGTCCCTCTTGCCCTCCCTCCCAGATTAGACCAGCAAAGGGCCTTCCAGATCATTTCAGGCTCTTCAACATTCCAGGAATGCCTAATGGGTGAGGCAGGAGGCACACAGCAAAATCTTCTGGGAGGGATGTCTTTCAATAAAATATGGTTTCATCTTTGGAGTAAGAAACTCAACTATGAATATGAAACAAATTATAAAATGTGCATTTCAAACACATCTGCTTAGCTGCTAGGAATATTAAAAAAAAAGACAGAGCAAAATTTTCAATGGGAGATGGTCTCTCACTGCGGTTCTCAGACCTGGGCATGTACCTGCAGGCCCCTGGAGTTGCTGACTCAGTGGGCCTGGGATGAACTTCAAACAAGTTCTCAGGCCACGATGATGCTGCTCATCTGGGGATCACACTTGCAGAAGCATCAGGCTCTAAGAATCCCAAGGACAGCTAAATTTTTTTTGGTTTATGAAGAGAGAAAACAAATTGTGAAAATAGGAACTTATAAAAACCAAACTGTCTTTAAAACATGAACTTTATGTAAAACCATTTCTTTTTATGTCTCTCTTCAGACCTCAAAATAATAAGTGGTTCTATGAGATTCATGTCTTAAAATCAATGTGGATATTTTCTTTCACAGGGATAGGAAGGGTTAAAAAATTCAATCCAGTTTAATACCTGCTCTTAGGAGAGAGACTTGCTTTTTGTGGAACCTTTACTGCTCTTTGTGGAAAGAAGTGAAATTGGAGCCCACTGATTATCTAGTTTGAAGGGCTGCTGTGTTGGACAACACCAGGGACCTTTATTTGCATTGTAATCTATATGAATGGCGCCCCTGGAATTCAAACTCGGCTGTCCTAACCATACCCCATTCATTACAGAGAAGCACTGTCCTTCCTTATCTTTCTCATTCATTCATCGAACACATTTTTATTGGGCCTCAACCATATGCCTAGCATATGCCAGGCACTGTTCCAGAGGGTTCAAATATATCAGTAATCAAAACAAAGATACTCACTGAGTATATGTTCTGAAGGATGGAGTCAACAGTAACAACTAAACAAGTAAATTGTATAGAAGTTGGTAAGTGCCATGGGAAAAAAAAAAGAAAAAAGAATTAGGTGGGATTGGAAATGTTGGGGAGAGGGGGACAACACTAAGTGTTGCTGTGAAGGAATTCTATAGATGGAGATGACATCCAGAGCCAGTTGACTTTTAGTAAAGGAGATTATCTTCTAGAATCTGGGAGGGACTCATCCAATCTGTGAAAAGTCTCAAGAGCCAAAAACGTAGAGTTTCCCTCAAAATGAAATTCCTCCTCTGGATTGCACCATCAGCTCTTGCCAGAGTTCCCTCCCTACAGATTTCTTATAAGCTGTCCCCCACAATCACATAAGCCAATTTCAATTAATTTATCTTTTAGATAAGTTAATTTCTCTCTTTCTCTCTTTTCTTCTTCCCCCAGCTGGTTCTTTGGAAAATCCCAATACAGGATGCACTTTGAAAGCCACTACCATAAGAGGAGTATTTCAGGTCAGGAAGAAAAGAGCATCATGCACACAAATCCCTTAGCAAAGGGCTGGATGTGCACACTCACCACGACACATTTAAAGGTTGCATTTCAATTCAGTAACTATATACGAAATCCCTACTATGTGCTTAATACCAGGCATCTCCCAACAGGAGGAGCATACTGCTGTGGTTTCCAATGGAGAGATGAAAAGCTAGAATGAAGCAGCCAGCAAAGGTCAGGTTTAGATTTGGGTCAAGGTCAGGTCTGGATTTGGGTCAAAAGTCATGCTCCCTGAGTGTGTTATACTGGCTAAAGAAAAAACCCATCCCAGCATTCTCCTTTCCCATCACACACACACACACACACACACACACTTCCC